CTGCTGCTGCTGCTGCTGCTGCTGCTGCTGGGGCTGCTGCTGCTGCTGCTGCTGCTGCTGCTGCGGGGCGCTTGTGCTTCGAGGGCTCTATGCAGAACACCCGCGTTGTGGGGCTCAGCCCCAAATGCCGCCGGAAGTGCTGCATGCATTCTGCATGCGTTTTGCCTGCTGCAGCAAAGCCCCGCAGCCGCCGCCGCAGCCCCTGGTGCAGCAGCAGCAGCTGCTGCCCGCTGCGGCTGCACCGCCCGCGAGCTGCGCACGGACCCGCACACACGCAGGCCCAGCTGCTGCTGCTGCTGCTGCTGCTGCTGCTAGTTCGGTCCGCAGAGGCCGCTCTGCGCAAAGCCAATAGAGGGGTGCCGCTGCGAGCGCCACACGAATTCGAATCCTGCTGCTGCTGCTGCTGCTGCTGGTGCTGCTGCTTTTGCTTCGTTGCAGCAGCAGCGTGCTGCTGCGAATGTGTGGGAGAAAAGCCGCCGCAGTCAGAATAGACCTCGCCTTGGGGACTGTCCCTGTCGCTGGTGCTGCTTCTGCTGCTCGTGCTGCTGCTTCTGCTGCTGCTGCTGCTGCTCCTCCTGCTCGAAAGCGTCGCAAAAGAAACAGGCGACGTTGCTGCCCTTTGAGGAGTTTGGCCGTTCGTGCTGCAGCTGCTGCTCCTGCTGCTGCTCCTGCTGCTGCTCCTGCTGCTCCTACTGCTGGTGCTGCTGCTCCTACTGCTGCTGCTGCTGCTGCTGCTGCTTTGCCTCGTATCTCCACACTCCAGGCCCTTCTGCTGCTCTTGTTGGCAAGCTGCCTCTGCTGCTGCTCTGGGGCCCTCCAGCAGCAGCAAATCTTCGGGCGAAAACTCTGCATTGAGCCACTGCGCCACTTCTAAATCAGCCAAATCGGCAGCAGCAGCAGCGGCAGCAGCAGGGGCAGGAGCAGCAGCAGATCTTGAGAGTTCTCTGGAGGCGCGAAGACCGCGGCGAGCAGCACGGCGTCCATCTCTTCTCTTCCTTCGTTTGCTCCTGCCGCCGCTGCTGCTGCTGCTGCTGTTGCTGCTGCTGCTGTCGCTACCGCTGCTGCTGCTGCTGCTGCTGCTGCTGCATGCGGCCTGTCTTCGTGCCTCCCGCTGGGGGCCTCGTGAGCTCTGGTGGAGGCCTTGACTGCTTCTTTTGGTTTGCACAGAGCGTCTCTTGCTGCTACTGCT